ATTGGGAAATAAGAGATAAGATAGAGGAAAAAAGAAAAAAAGAAAAAGAGAGAGAGAAAGAGAGAGAGAGAGAGAGAGAGAGAGAGAGAGAGAGAGAGAGAGAGAGAGAGACAGAGAGAGAGAGAGACAGAGAGAGAGAGACAGAGAGAGAGAGAGAGAGAGAGAGAGACACAGAGAGAGAGAGAGACAGAGAGATGTGCACTGGTTGTTGCAAGGGCCAGAGGCAGCCTGCTACCCAACGAGATGAATGAGACATCCCAAGATGGTGAGACCTCCACCCCCCATATCACCGACGTGCGTTGCCCCTTTTTGCCAGCGACATCGACCACCAAAATCGGTGGGACGCCGGGTAATTTCTATCCCCGAGGTGTGCTGCTCGTTGTGATTATTCCCTCTGTCGGCACGCGTGTTCGGAATAAATTCGTGTCCCCAGATGTGCATTTTGATGGACACGGAGCACCCGCTTGTCCGGGAACAGACGGGGTTCTCATGCGTGCGGAGTATGAGGTGAGAGAGGATGGGCCACTGTTTTTGGGACGGTGTGGGTCTGTCGTGCTTCAACGGAGAGAGTAGGAGGGGGGCGATTGTCGTTTGTTTCCAGCGGTGCTGTGGTTGTGGAAGAGTTGGGAGCCGAGACGTTTCGGTGAGCAGTCACTTCCGTCGGATATAATTTACAAGCAGAAGTAGCCGTGTCTTTGCATATCTGTGCGTGATATGGTTCTTCGCCTTGTTCCACCACTGCTAAGGGCGAGGACAAGATTTACCTTTGTGAGCAGCTTCCCACCGCCGTTGCTTCAACGCTTGGCCTGACGCCGGCCGTCGTCCCCCTGCAGCTATGCGGACCGCGTAGCTTCGGCCTGGTAGTTGTGTGTGTGTGTGTGTTTCGTTTGCCGTTGTACTATTTTGTTTTCTGCGCTGCAAAACGTGAGGCTTGCCTTTTTCGTGTGTGCATACCTTTTAAAATAGTACTTTGTGCTGACCACACACCTTTATGAAGACGGAACTCCCGTCGTGTAGCTCTATTGAGACATGCCGCAGGCTATGCGCAGTTTCTGTGGAAGCATTTTTTATAGTTACACACACGAAAACTATTCCCGGGGGAGTGTTCTGTCCAGCAGGAGTGAATGCCACCGAAATAAGGGTGCAAATACTGACGTGTTTCTGTTTTTGATGCTGCAGGACGGCGTTCGGGTTGTCTGTGTCGGCCGACCTTATGGGGCTCTTCGAGGACCCCGACCTTCTGGCGGCAAGCCGGCCTGTGCTGCCGTGGGAGCGGGGCCAGAAGCTCCTGAAGGGTGGCAGGAACGTCGAAGAGGTGAGAGCCGCAACGTTCCAAATTGTTTTATTGTGGGCATTTTTTTTTTTTCACGGGTGCAATGGTGATTTGAAGGCCTGGCGGTACGTTCGGCTCAGGAGGCTTTTCTGCGGGAGGGGATTCTAGGGCTGAGGAGGAAACTGGACGAGGGGGAAAGGGCTTCCCGTGCCGACTCTATCGGTTTCGTTTTTTTTCTGAGGTTGCTCTTCCCAGACTCGTGTGGGCCGCAACGAATCTGCCATACGGAACCTTTCTGGGGGCAGTTGTGGTCATTCGTTGCTCGGCACGAAAGGGCGGCAGGAAATCTTTTGTGGTATGCGGGCGAGCGAGGGATCAGGGGCTCTTTCAAGGGCGACGGTAGGGCGGCAAGGAGAAGGAGTAGCCTTGGTGATTGCCCGCGGTGGGTGCTGTTTGTAGTGGTTTGGTTTAGAACTGACGCGTTGTATCGGCGTCCAGGCAGGTGCTGCCCTCCTAACCGTTCTTGTCAAGCCCTGTTGGCGTGACCTTGATATGTACTTCATATGTTGTATTACGTTTCTAGTAGATTTATTTTTTCACCAGTGTGCAAGCTTGTTGTTTGAAACGTCTCTTGAACACGACGGCAGATGGCATTGCAAGCGAAAGAGAAGGCGGAGGCTCGACGGCGCTTGGTTGCGAGACATGGGACCGGGGGGTGAGGAATGCCTCGTTGTGGCTGGTATGCTATCATTCCTGCTGTTCTCTTGTACCAGTAGGTGTATTTGGTCGCTAAACGCTTTCGTTTGTTTCCTTGCCTGTGTACTCGCACAAATCGGGTAGGCGTGTCCCTTTTGTGGTATGGTGTGCCGTATTGCCACGCGATGTTGCTCTTTGGTCCGCTTTTCATGAAGACAAATAGACAAAAATCCCTTCGTCGTACGGCCGAACCCCAGATTGTTACGGTCATGACAACAAGAAATCAGGTCTCTCGCCGCCGTCGCCCACGGGCTCTTCGACGGCCCCGCCGTGTAGCTTTTCGTAGTCCTCGGCTTTTCTGTTGACCTTATGTTGTTGTCGGCCTCCGTATGCCGCCTCGGCGACTTGTTAAGGTTGGCGTGTGAGGTGACGCTTCTGGTGGATTCCGTGGCGGACTCGATCGTGTACCGGGAGATCAGCACGAGGTGGGTGCAGTAATACAATCACATCGGGGCAGCACGCCGATTTGAACAAGATGATGCACGGTACATGGTTGTAACGGCGCACGTTCATGTTCAAGCTCCCCAAGGTTCCTATCTCCTACGCCCTGGCCCCCACGCGCCCATGTTGACGCCTCCAGCCTTTTATTTTGTCATGAACCTCAGGCACATGTTGTCTCTCCCTCATGCAGAATTGGGTCAGACCTCGCACGAATAGGACGCGTCCTTTGTTTGGTAGCCAGACCTATCAGGCTCATGCTGTCGCTCATGGAGCACAACGGGCTCGCCCCCCCCCCGTCCCAACTTGCATGTGGCAACCGGTGAAGTACCTCCAACTTGTGGTCGGCCAGACCTATCAGGCGCATGCCGTCGCTGACGGAGCCCACGCGCCCCCACCTCCTGTCCCAACTCGCATGCGTGTCCACACCTCCAACTTGTGGCCGGGCAGACCCATCAGGCGGATGCTGTCCCTCCTGAAGAACAACTGGAGGCCAGATAGAATAGACGATGTAAGGAGGAACGCCAACCTTGGCATCAGGAGCGGCGATTTCGGGGCGCGCCTGACGCACAACCACCAGACACAGTTCTACTTCGTCATGCAGAGCCTCATGCTGTGGTTGGAGGTGTGTCTGTCATTTTTGTTTTTGTGCTTCCGGTGTGTCATGCGTTTGCCGCTTTGTCTTGCTCTGTTTGCTGCCGTTGCGTTAGAGTCGGTTTCGATGTTTTGTTTTTCAAACTAGGGGTTGGGAGAGGGGGTACGGAGCCTCATGCCTTGGCCGGAGAAGGTCAACTTGGTATCTTGGCAACCTGTCTGTCATCGTGCGCGTTGGGCGTGTGGCCAAGCCTCTGAAGTGCTTGCGTGATGTAGTGTGGCGTTTCGGCATGTCTTCGACATATTTGGTTTCGGCGGCACGAACACTTGCGTCAAACGACAACGGGGACCGTGAATTCTGATTCTGAAGACGGGTTACCATATATGCATGCTGAGCCTGTTCGTTGGTTCGTTCGTGTGTTCGTGTTTTGGTTGTTTCAATAGTCCCTCTGCTATCTGACGGTGTTGACCATGTGGGGGTTCTGGACCCTTGGCTACAAATTCCTTCTATCGTCCGTTGGGGCAGGTGACCGACAACATGCTGGATCTGTGGGCGGCCGGAGAGAAGGATATGCTGGAAGAGGACAACCAGTACAGGCTCAGCAACACGGGGCAGGGGCTTCAGAGAGTCCAGGCGAGCTTTGTTGTTGTCGTCATTGTTGTTGTAGTTGCTGTCCTTGTTTGTGAAGTTGCTGCTGCTTTCCGTCGTCGCCATCGTCGTGATCATCGTCGGAGTAATGACAGTGCTGACCAGAAAGTGAATTTGTGGTTGCTTTAACAGCTCACCGCTTTTTTAACCGTTTCTCCGCTTCTCCAACGAAGGGAAAAGTTTCGTTGTTTGACAATGCCGGAACATACTCCGTTCTGTTTTATGACCTCTCCGGAAAAAGCAGGGAGCGCGGCGAGTGGGAAAGCGCATGAACGAGTATCAGGTTCGGGTAGCCAACACCTGCGGAAAATCTTGGGTGAGACACCCGAGGGAGAGACGCACAGACAAGGCGTGGAAGGAATTTAATCTCGGCCGTGTCGCTGACTACTGTTAAGAGGCCACGGGGCGCCATGAGAAGGAGTTCGTGTTGCGGGCGAGGGTGGCGGTTGTTTGCGACAGGCTATCGTTCGGTAGTTCCGTACTGTTAAGTTGTTGCCTGACTTATTCTGAATGTTCAGTAGCTGGTACACAATACCTTTTTGTTTTTTTCGGACACGAGCGGTCATTCCTCTGTCGCCCATGTCACGCGTTGGAATTGGGGCTTGATTTTTGTGGAAGTGGATTCTCCAGAATTCTCTTCGAATCACATGCACAACGGAGTAGGGCAGAGCCGACCAGCCGCGGCCGCCACCGCTTTCCTCCACAACATGTTCGGCCCTTGTCATCGACAAGGTGGCCGCTCGCGTTGGGGTGAAGCCGCAACTGGCCACAGGAAGACGCTTCTTGTCGAGCATCCTCAGAGCCCCTTCCGTTGTGCGTACCAACAGCAGACATCGAGACTGGTAGACAAACGCCAAACACTGTTTTCGATCCCTCTCCGTGTGCTGTAGGTGGGCTCCGCCGTGGTGCACCTGGGGGACAGCTGCGTCCCCAACGCGCTGACCTTCCTCGACAAGTATTCCCAAGTGCCGTGGATTCTCAACCCGATCCTTCAGGTATGCGTGCGATCTACATTCATGATTCGAGTGTGTGCGAGGCTTGCGTGTGATCCTTGTCTTTGAATGTTGTGTTTGCATGGACGTGGTCTGGTTGCTGCTGTGCGTGAAGTTCCGTGTGTGACCGTTGCTTGTGGAAATATACAGGGTGAGTGAACTTCATGTACGACCGTTGTGTGTCAACATCAGATGTGGAAGTGGTTCAACTGTTGGTGGATATTCCAACTACGGAGAGGCAGGGTACTGATGAGTTTGAATTATTTGAAGTCGTGTGCGGCCTGCCCAACGACAAGGACGCACTACGGTGTCATTTGAGATTGGTGCGAAACTGGATGTTCAACCCGCTGGGTGACCTTGGCGAACTGGTTCGTTTGTGCCTGTGCTGTTGCGTGGGAATCGCTTGGTGTGTGATGGACTAGTGCTCGTACAACGTGTCCTCCTTTCGTTCGCCTTTGCTTGATATGCAGGCTTTGGACTACCTGACAGACCTCGACGAGGGATCAGACCCCGTGGTGCTGGAGTACATCAAGGGCCGGTGGGGGAACGTCGAGTACGCCCAGCGCTACATTCTGAGAAATTTCTTCCGCTTCGGGTGGGTTTGTCGTTGTCGTTGTCGTTGTTGTTGTTGTTGTTGTTGCTGCTGCTTGTGTCGATGCCGTTATGCCCTGTACGCTCTCACGTATAGAACACTACATACCGCAGGACACCTTGAAAGTACTGTCCATGCCTGATCTCCGAAACAACCATGATTGATACATTTTCTATTTTCTCGCGCTTTGTACTGGTGGTGGTAGTTTGATGTTTTGGCGGTGGGCGTCGTGGTGGTGCAACGGCTGTTTGATCTGGCGTTGTTGGGATTCGACGAATCCGCGGGGACAGGCGCTGTTAACCGGCGTTACATTCACCAATGTCAAGAATACGTTGCAATAGCGGCGATGGAGCCGCCCCCCCAACGTCCAGTCAAGGCATTCTCGAAACGTGTCGATTGTTGTGGCCGCGAACCGAATTTGCACGCTTTGCGAAGCGTTTGTGAATGGTACACAGCGTTGGACGTGCTGCTGACAAGGGGAAGAGGAATGCTGCCAGTTTCACACCAGAACTGAAGCAACAAACCCTATCGGAATTCTACCCGTGGGACTCCAGACCGGACCCCCCACAGCAAAGCGCTTTGGGTAGATGTTATCCGCACGACAGTGATGGCTTGCATGTGATGTCATTGAGTAATGCCTTCTCTCTCTTGTTTCTCTCGGCAGGTTCGATGGATCCGGCGGGGACAACAACTACGATGCCGGCAGCTGCGTGGATGGACGGTTGACCAGCGCCTGGAACTGGTGCAGCAAGGTATGTTCCGCGCCAAAGCAACGCTGAGTGGGTGGGTGGTGCCGTCATCATCATTGCTACGGTTTTATTTTTTGTTTGCTCTCTGGCGGGTGTTAGGCTACATGTACCGTCTCGTTTCTCGCGTTACTTTCGCTTGCTGTTGCTGGGGGCGTTCGTTTCTTTCCCTCCCACGTGTTGTCCTCGGCTGATCAAGAACGAGCTCGTTCTGAATATTGATATTTCCAACCTCATATGTACCTTGCTTTTTTCGGGTTCGTTCCGTTTCTTTCCCTCCTGCGTGCTTTGTCATGGTGGGCAGATTGAGAAGAAGTCCTTCGTTAACGTCTTCAAGCTCAGCGGCTTCTCTGGCTTCGACGGAGACTTCAGCCGCTGATACTTCCAGCCTTGTGTGAACCATTCTCCTGGTGAATTTTCTGCAGCGCGTATGCTGTGTCCACATACGGCGTCTCGGTCCTCGTTGCGATATCTGAACGTCAAGGTGCTCCGATGCCCGGGTGGGCGGGTGTTGAGGCGTCCACAGGTAGTCCGTTGTTGCAGCTGGCTTTACTCGCTGAGATCCCGACTGGTGCAGGACAAAGTTCCGTTCAGAAATGTTCGTGGAAAGCAAGGCTTTAGCAACGGCGTTTAGGGATGCCCAGCGATAGTTATTCAAAGGCTGTACTTCGTTGCTGCCTGCAAGTGGCGAAAAGCACAAGGACCGGCTGGGAACTGGGCGGTTCACTGAGTTTTTTTGGGACTTGTGCATGCTGCGATATTGTCGTTAATGTTGTGAGAGTTTTCGCAGCTTTGACGGCGGAACGTTGGCTGCGCAATGAATTGCGTGGCATGTCACGCTTCTACGCAGGGAGACGGCCGTACGATGCACACCCATGACTCCCACATTGCCGAGCGCGTCCCAGACAGCTCCAAGTAGGGTCGGTGGGAGTTTTGTATGTTCTGTTTCAATACGATATGCGCTGTTCGCCTTTTTTTGCAATCTTTCCCCAGGAAAAAAGTATTCAGAGAACGACGCATGGGTGGGACAATGTAGCTGTCAGGCCACATGGAGAGCCTTCGGCGTTTGTGGAACGAATATTTGGAAGGTTTTCATTGTGTAGCAGCCTCCGTTGGTGGGTATACCGCATGCTGGACTATTCACTCTTTCAGGCTTTTGCGGATGCATGGCACTGTTTCGATGGGTCCTGCGGTTGGTGTGTCTTATCCCAACGTTTTTGTATCCTGTGGGAGGAATGCTTGCATCCTACGCCGCCATTAGAGCAGCGAGTGGCAAGGATGTGATGCACGTCAACTCTGCCCGCCAAGTATAGAGCCATCGATTTCTGTTACTGCTGCATAGCTTAGCAGTTACTCCTGTCGCTCTCCCGATTTGCATCCTGATTTTGCCACATTTGTTTGGGGGCGCGTGCACGTGTGGTGTGTTTGTATGGGCTCTTAAGGAAAAAAAAGAAGTGAAGTCAGAGGGCCCGCTGACATCACGGAGTTGTAAGTTATTGAAAACGTTTGAAGTGCTCTTTGTCGCCCGCATGTAGCAACGTAGCGAGCATCAGGGTCCTCAAAGCATCGGGGTCAACATCGCATTATTTGCTTTTTTTTATGTGTGTTCGGTGTCGCGTGGTTGGCTGGAGTCGGTTATTTAGTTCATCTTGTGCTGTTGAGTATTGGGTGAGTGTATTTGTTGCTTTCTTGGCTTGGACCAACGGCAGTCATTACGGAAAATCGGCAGGTTTTTCATCGGAGCAAACAATGTGTTTCAAGCATTTCCCGTTTCCATCAGACTGTCATCAAAGCGTTTCGTGAGGGTGCCAACCTCGGAACGTGGGCGTGAACGACGAAGGTTGGATCGGTGACTGGGGCCTGGTTTCCAGGAGACGACCTTTGGCGTAACATACCGCGAAGGAGTCGAGCTCGCGTTTGGATTTACTGCGTTTCCACACTGGTGGCTTGTCAGTGTTAGCTTTGCCTTTCGGACTGACGCCCACTCCAATCTAAGGCTCAGAAAGTCATCGTCCGCTTTTTGTTATGTGACGGTCTTGAGGTGAAGCGGTGATTGGCCTCATCCACAACGTTTGTTTGTGTAGAGTCTGCGGGAGCAACATCGCAAAGCTAACTTGATTCCCCTTCGTTCTTCTTGGTGTGTCATACGTATGTACTGCTGGGCGGTTTCGTTTGTGCCTCGGCCGGAAAATTAAACGGGATATGGGGAAAACCGATTTGCGTCCTTTCATGAGGTAATACGGCGGCATCTTTGATGTCGGGATATCTCACAAGTCTGGTGTGCTTCTGTGCTTGACGTCTCGGCACGGATATATACATGCTGCTCACGCCGTTTACAAAACCGGAATCACTACGACGGGTTTCCCTTCTCCCTCACGACGACACGTAACAACAGGGTGTCCACGTACTGATGCATGCAGTGTCCGTCCAGACTTACCGTTGTCTGCAGGCTGACACCAGGAACGCAACCTGCGCACAAAGTCAATGAGCTCGGGCCTAGAGTCTGTCTCTATTTGCAGCGACGGGCGTGCCGACCGGGGCTAGCCGGCCATATCCACACAGGGGAAGACGTGTAGTCTACTTCCGTTGAGGATCCGCGTGTTCCATAGATCAATCTTGATGGTTGGGCCTGTTGTGTAATGCATTTTAGGACTTTGGCAGTCAGGCCCCCTCTTTGTGTTTCCCTTTCGCACGGATGAAGACCTTTTGCGGAGAATACTTTTTTAGAAGGATTATCACGGTTTAGCCAACATGCCCATCAGTTGCAGGTGGAGGGGCATGCCGGAACTATGGTCGATAATTTTCTGTCGTTCGCTTTTGGCTTGGGGGTTACTCCTGGATTACTGTGTTTGTTTTTTAGTGGCGACGTGTGTTATCCCCCTGAAAAAGTCAACAGGTAGAATTAGCGGGGTGTATGAGTTGTGCACTGCAAAAGCGTGAAGACATCATAAAAACATGAGTGCTCATGTCGTGCAACGCGAGCCAAACACGTAAGACTCTTTTGTATATTTCGCATCGGGACAGTCGTGCAAGTCACGTCGCCTCCGTTACCCTCTCTCCCTTCCGCCCCTCTCGGTCTACAGTTAGAATATGGTGTCCGCGGTCAGAGTGAATACTTGCACACCTGAGGCAGCAGGCCTGTGTGGGCTGGCGAGGTTGATGTTATGTACATGTTCTCATCTGAGGAAGCTCAGCCCGGCGCGTGGTGGTTTCACTCGTGAATCATTCGGAGCCCTTGTGCTGGTGTCGGGGCCCTATCTTGCCCATTAAGGCGGCGCCTGCCGATCTCTAACCGCTATGAGTGCATATATAGACCTTCACAAAATGTCACCGCCCCTCGCCCAGTCTTGGTCACCACATTCCACACGATCGTATCCCTACCACTTTCTTTTGTGGGTGAAGCCGATTCCACTCTTGGCACTCCTGTAGACCCACAAGCGATGAATTGGTTCTACAGCCAGCGATGCTAGTACTGCTGTAGACCCCTTTGCATACATGTTGGAACAGCGAGATGTAGGCGTTTTGCCACACGATACACACGCCAACGCAGCTTAGCAGCCTGTCGACCTGAAATCATCCCGCTTCTGCCAGGAACAGTAGAACAAGATGGACCGTGTCAAGTGTCCGATCGGTTGTCCTGCTGTCCTTCGTCGAGCTTGGGTGTTAGCCCAGCGCAGCTAGTGTAGCAGCTACATGGGGTTTCCAAAAGGTTCCCCAAGGATGCATGTGAAGATTACCTACCTTGGGATTGAAAGTGAATGCGGCAGGAACTCTTTGGAAACCCCTCGCCGAATGCCGACACAGCAGAAGGCCTTCATCTGTCAGCCAAGGGACTCGAACGTAGATAAAACGGGACCTGCAGTGACAGAGGTAAGCTTCCGCAGCATCGTTCACATTGACTTGGTAATGTTCCGACTGCTGGGTTTTTGGCTCGGCAAAATCCGTGATTGATTCATGGTACACACCTGCTGCTGTGGTGCCATACGCACGCTTGGACCCCAGTACCGAGACGAAAGTGCCCAGCGTACTGCGAAATCGTGGGCAACGACACAGAGGGTAGCCTTCATCGCCGACTCACTACACGTATCTGCCGGGGTTCACTCCAGTTGGAAGTCCTTTGAGGTGTGTACACAACAGGCCAGATTATTGAATGGCGACCCGTCGAACAGCAACAGCGATAAACACGGGCCGGAAGGGTCAAGCCTATCCACTCTCCTTGCCTTGTGACTGGTGTCAAGATGAGAAATTCTGCGGTTATTGGCCTGACTCCTCCAAAGTGTCAGCGGTGCGGGGAACTACAGAGCTTCTCACGCCCTTAATCGCAGTCTCTGGCGCCAGGTGTTTCATTACGCGGAACTTCCGCGTTATACCCAATTCTGTAGGCGACTGTTGACCTGCGCGAGTATCGGAGAGACCCTACTCGGTGTACAACCATGGCTTCCACCCTTGGCGTCCTTGACGTCCTCAGCAAACTCCGTGAGGAATCAGAGAGAGCTTCCACAGCCTTGACGGCTCAGCAGGTGATACGTTGACTATTTTCCGATGTGTGGAAAACATTTCGACTGCATCATAGAGGTTCGGAAAAGTTGTTCAAGAGAGAGACAAGATGGACCCTCAAGTCTGATTGAACCCGAGCCGATCATCGTCTTTCCTTGCTAACGAACAACATATCGCATGCTTCCCAGGAAACCAATCGAACGCTTCTTCAGAAATGTATCGAGGCCGAGACGGAGAGCGGCCGCACAGACGAGGCCAAAGAAGCGCTCCAACTTCGAAAGGTGAGCTATAGACTAGGCTAGAACAAATTCACCAACCAACTCATGCCGGCCCTATAACAGTTTCGAGCGGTACTCCACGACTAAATCCGCGGCTGCATTTCACACACGCACGATTACAAAACAGGAGGGACACCTAGGTGAGGATCTCTCCATACAGTATCATATCACAACGGCCTCTTTGTGAAATTCTGCTGCGGACCACAACTAAGACCGCCCAGATCCAGGGCCCTTTCACCCAAAGAATTCGTTCTTCCGTTGTGACTTGCCTGGAGCGTGAGTAGACCGCAGGGCACCCGGTGTCCGTTTCCAACGGTACGCGTGCGAATGAATTGAGGTACCGCATACAACACAAGGCAGCACACATCCTGGACCAATTTTCAAAGCTCGATCACTCCTCGACGAAGAGGATGCATAAACGAAACGGTACGTTTCTGGAGAGTTCTTGACCAGACGGCTTTAACGCCGATATTTTCGGCGCTGCTACTCTTCCCGCTGTCGATAATATCGAACTTTGGAAATCTGTTCATGGGGTGTGTTATCTTGTGTTGTATACGGAAATAGGATGCACAGTTTGGGCCACCTATCGTTGCCACCTATCTTCGATGGACATGTTACATTCTGCAACCATTGCCGGCCAGCCAAGCTACCCGGACGTACAAGCTCGATATACATGAACTGTGTGCGGCAGAAGGCGGGCAACTCATTGCATCAATGAACACGAGCATCCACGATGCGCACCAATATTCATTCTGCTCATTGAAGCTGTCGACCAAAGCTTTGACCCCTTTCTCTTTCGGGCTGTTCTAGGTGCAGCTTGAGCAGGGGCATGAGGACGCCGAGACCGGGCGTAGAGAGGCCGAAGGCAGGCTGAGAAGGCTACAAATGCAGCAGGCTCGGTGAGAACCATCACCGATGATGTTCGGAGTGAAAATCGCCAAACAATATCGTGTGGTGCTTGGCGACTGCTGTGTTGTTTAGGGGATTGTTCAATGAAGCCGTTCATTTATGTTGTTGGTTTGCGATCAGACATATAAGAGTGTGATCAAGAACAACCTTCGGCATTTACCATGTTGACGAAAAATTCGAGTGTCTAGGAAACATGCGCAAGGTTGACTTTGCGGGAGGGGATTTGTGAACTGGAGTTTTCGAGAGCTCAATACTTGTGCTCAATGTCGCCAGAAAATGGCAAGCAGAATCTAAGATATTCGTCGAACAATCACATGTCGGCGAACATTGACGAACGTTGGACGAGGTGGCAGAAGCACCCAGTGATGCGGAATACCTATGACATCGTCTTTTGTATTGTCGAATGACATCGTCTGCCCCAAAATCGCTTCGCTGCCATTACAAAACAACAGGCGCAAACAGGCGGCTGCGCGCATGCGGGAAAATACTACAGCTGCAGGCGCAAGCGCTGTAGCGATATCGAAGGTAAGGAGTTGGTCCACAACAGTGGCGGTCCGTTGGCTCAGAGCAATAATTTCATTATCGAGCACGATCGGGTGTGAACTCGTACCAGTGTGCCGTTCATCCTGATATATCACTGAATATTTTCGCCAGTGACAGTGGCACGCTCGAGACTTGATTCACCGCTTCATGATGAAACATCGACCGTACGACTGCCGTCGTTGGTGATTAGGCAGTGACCTTGCGATTTCGAGAATTTGTACAACTCAGATCACGATACGGAAAACGCTCAGAAATTTCACTTTACTTCTGTTTTCACTCTTTCCTTAATTCTTCAATCACCATTGCCCATGCCGTCGTTCGGAGTAGGTACCAATTTCACTTCACGATGAAATTTCCGGTTGTATGCGCTTCCTCCCTATGATAGGTGTGAAGTATTGA